GAAAATGCAGCGCGTGGCGCTCCCAGGTACCTCAAAATCTTGTTTTTCCCCTGTTGTTACGGGGATGGGGGGGAAAGCGGGAGTGACTCAAACGCTGTTGTTGGAGAAGGCGCTGGTGCGCACACGGGAGGGGGGAGAAATTAATTCACACCCAAAAAGACGTCCTAGCCGTTTTTTCGGGGCTCAAAAAAAAATAAGGCCCGGCCTTATTTTGTGAGAAACACAGTAGGATTACCAGGTAGTTAGGTACGTAGACAGATGGGAGGGAGGGAGGGAGAGAGAGAGAGAGAAAGGGAAAGGAAAGGAAAGGAAGGAAGGAAGGAAGGAAGGAAGGAAGAAAGAAAGAAAGAAAGAAAGAAAGAAAGAAAGAAAGAAAGAAAGAAAGAAAGAAAGAAAGAAAGAAAGAGGAGCGAACCAAGCAGAACCTTCCCAAACGGTTGTCATATCTGGACCCAAGACTGTAAAGTAAAACTGCCTTTCCCGAGAACACAAACTAACCTTTCAGCTGCTACTTGAAAAAACGAGATCATAAAGCCTTTTGCATCGGTTTAATACATTTTTAATCCATCTGATTTTATGTTTTGAGCTAAATCAGATCGCCCAGCAGTAGATTAGGCCTCCGTTATCCTCTATCCATACACACACACACACACACACACCGTGCTTCTTTCAAAACTAGTTCATCCACACCCTTGCTGGGTTATATACTGCATGCATAACTAGGTCACTGGAAGACAGGTTGCATCCACGCAACCTTCTACTCTTGCTGGGTTAAGTTTTCCAGAGCGTGACATGGGGAGATCTGACTGCCTTGCTTAGTTGAAAAGTCGACATTTATTTTGTTGGGCCCAGAAAATTAGGTTAATTCGGTAACCAAGGCGCAGTGCCCACCCACCTATCCAGTTCTTTGTTTAGGGTTTTATTTTGCATCGCTCGGGCTGCCCCGTTGCCAGTAGACAGTTTCCCATAATTTCTCTTATCCCGATTGGTCTGGTTTTCATCACGCCTGTTTGCTTTCAGCGCCTGCCAGTTACAAGGAGGGAGCTGCTTTCTTCCTCACTCATGGGTTGCCAAGCAACCTGCCACCATGGTAACCGGGAGACAAGTAAAACCCTATGTATTAAGCAGCAGCGATGCTTCAGCCTGAGATGTGCAGTTTGGCTACTATGGGTGGGGCCTGATTGACTCTTTGGGGGGTGGGGGAGAAGGAAGGGGAAAGGAGGGAGGAGTCTTTTGCATGAAGATAGGGGGAAAAAAAGAGAAAATTAAAATTAAAGGAGAAAATGAAAGGAGCTCTATGCCAGAGCTTATCTTTGGAGCTGGGGCAATAGTCGAGCCGAGAGCATTGAACAAACTGACAGTCTGCAGAATTCATTTGCCACCACTCTGAAAGCAGTATCTTTCCTTTTCTTAATAATGAATCACAACACTGTCTAAGAGCAAGTGAAGCCTTTTCTGTTCTGTTCTCCAGAAGACTTAATTAGGAAAATGCCCATTAAATATAAAGCCAATGGCAGGGGAAGAAAAGAACGTCGTAAAATGTTGGAGCCAGAAAAATCTGCATTTAGTCATAGGTGGAAATTACAGGCTACGCTGTAAACCCAAGAGCAACAGGGTGCTGTCGGGTTTAATTAATTGGGAAATTGCTCTTCTACCAAACCCCGTCATCTTCAACGAAAAGATGCTGTCTGGGGATAACAGGAGTTGGAGTCCCATCTATTTTCGGAAGGTGCCATGTTGGGGAAGGATGGCCCATTTGTCACTGTATCTGGTTCCAATTGCAGTTAGCGTGGCGATGACACATAATTAACTCATCCCACATTTTTTAAAAAATACCAAAAAGCATCAGTTCTTCAGATGATTTACCAATTTAATATCTACAGACCCCTCACATCCTGGACATAAACTGTTTCAATTCCTACCCTCAAAACGACGCTATAGAGCACTGCACACCAGAACAACTAGACACAAGGACAGTTTTTCCCCGAATGCCATCACTCTGCTAAACAACTAACTCACACAACACTGTCAAATTTTGTATCACTGTATCACTATTCATCTTTTCATCCTGCCTATTACCTATCTCTTCCCACTTAGGAAGAATAACCGTGTTGCGTGTATCTTTATAATTTATGTTGTTTTATTTGTTTCCCTAGTATGTTTTGATTGCGTATTAGTAACCTATGTATGATTTGACTATTTATAGTAACCTATGACTATTACTAAGTGTTGTATCTTATGATTCTTGATGAATGTATTTAATTTTTTGTTATGTACACTGAGAGCATTTGCACCAAAGATAAATTCCTTGTGTGTCCAATCACACTTGGCCAATAAAGAATTCTATTCTATTCTATTCTATTCTATTCTATTCTATTCTATTCTATTCTATTCTATTCTATTCTATTCCATTCCATTCCATTCCATTCCATTCCAATTTATTTATTTATTTGATTTAATTTATTTATTTTGTCAAGCGATTATAACAGGTATAAGTATAATCATAGTTATGAATACATGAAATGAATACATATAAGAAAAATAACAATAAGAGAAACAATAGGACAGTGACAGTAGATCCCCCCCACCAGACCTCTTGGGAAAGGGCTGAGGTCAATAGTAGACAGTCTAAGGTTAAAGTTTTGGGGGTTTGGGGAAAAAAAAAACCACAGAGTCAGGTAGAGTATTCCAGAAATTGACCACTCTGTTGCTGAAGTCGTATTTCCTGCAATCAAGTTTGGTGCGGTTAACCTTGAGTTTGTATCTATTGTGTGCTCTTGTGTTGTTATGGTTGAAGCTGAAGTATTCATTGACAGGTAGGACATTTGCAATGTATGATACTATACTTAGATCAGACCGAAGGCGGGGTAGTTCTAGGTTTTCTAGGTCTAGAATTTCACATCTGATGGCATAAGGTATTCTGCAACGAGTAGAGGACTGTCCTATTCTATTCTATTCTATTCTATTCTATTCTATTCTATTCTATTCTACTCTACTCTACTCTACTCTATTCTATTCTAAGCTTGAGCTGTTTCTGAATAAACCCTTGTGCCTTTGTTGTTATTCAATGTCCAACTCCCTGAGACCCCATGGACCACAGCATGCCAGCGCCCCCCTCGGTCCTTCACTGTCTCCAGGAGTTTGCCCAAATTCATCTACATTGTGTGGATGACACCATCTAACCATCTCATCCTCTGCCGTCCCCCTTCTCCTTCTGCCTTCCATCTTTCCCAACATCCAGGTCTTTTCCAAGGAGTTCTCTCCTCTCATTGGGCGTCCAAAATGTTTGAGCTTCAGTTTCAGGATCTGTCCTTCCAAAGAGCAGTCAGGATTGATTTCCTTTAGGATCGACTGATTGGATCACCTCGGAGTCCAAGGGACGCCCAAGAGTCTTTTCCAGTGCCACCATTTGAAAACCCCAGTTAATCAGTGTTCCCTATGATCCAACTCTCCCAGCCATAAAACATTACGAGGAAAAAACCATAGTTTTTTTTTCTGTACGGAGCTTTGTTAGCAAGGTGTGTCTTTGGTTGGGAGAAATTCTAAATTGCAGATGGTTGCTAGCATTCTGCAATCAGTCTTCTCTTTTTGCCATACATGCAAAGGAAAGAGAGAGGGAGAGAGAGAGGGGGGAGAATTAGTGAATGGATGGATGAATGAATGTATGTAAACTGCCCAAGGAGCTGTTGATCCAGTTCTACAGAGGAATTATTGAGTCTATATACTTATATAATTATTGAGTGCACCTCTATAACTGTCTGGTTGGGTTCTGCAACCCAACAAGACAGACACAAGCTTCAGAGGATAATTAGGACTGCAGAAAAAACAATTACTGCTAACCTGCCTTCCATTGAGGACCTGCACACTGAATGAGTCAAAAAGAGGGCTGTGAAAATATCTACAGACCCCTCACATCCTGGACATAAACTGGTTCAACTCCTACCCTCAAAACGACACTATAGAGCACCACACACCAGAACAACTGGACACAAGCACAGTTTTCCCCAAACGCCATCACTCTGCTAAACAAATAATTCCTTCAACACTGTCCAACTATTTATTATTAGTATTATTAGCATTAGTAGAAGTATTATAATAATAAATTTTCATTCATAAAGATTTTTAAATAACAGTGCATTGGCAGAGCATTATTTACAAATAAAACACAACCAACATACATTGGTAATAAATCTCAACATACATACTAATATCAATAGTAATGGTATAGTAACACTACTAATAGTATAACCAAAAAGAGTTGATCTAGATTTTTTTTCTTAGGTTAGTTACATTTTTATGAATTACTACATTTATATTTATCTACATCTTTACTTTCAATACATATAATATTAACCTTCATAATCTTACTTTCTGTAATTTCTACTTCTTTTCTCTACCCAATCGTAAAATTTATTCCGTGTCTGAAAGTCAAACTTTACTAAGTCTGCTTTACTATTACTATTAATCCTCCCATCCTTCCTTTCACCCATCTCCTCCCACTTATGACTGTATGACAGTAATTTTGTTGCTTGTATCCTTAAGGTTTTTATTGACTGTTTCCTCGTATGATTTGATTGCTTATTGTACCCTATGACTATATTCTATTTACTATATATTCTATGACTATTATTAAGTGTTGTACCTTATGATTCTTGATGAATGTATCTTTTCTTTTATGTACACTGAGAGCATCTGCACCAAGACAAATTCCTTGTGTGTCCAATCACACTTGGCCAATAAAGAATTCTAATTCTAATGTATGTATGTATGTCCCAAGGGTGCTTTTCAGGAGACAACTGGGCGTCCTTGTTTTTCCTTTGGAAGACGATTCGCTTCTCATCCAAGAAGCTTCTTCAGCTCTGACAGGATAATGGGGAATAGAAGGATTCTGTTCTGTCAGAGCTGAAGGATCTTCTTGGATGAGAACAAGAAAATCCAGCCGCCTCCTGAAAAATGCTCATGATCTGGATGATGGAGAATCTCTACTGACGAATGAATGAATGAATGAATTTATTAAGCTGTGGATCTCTTCATGTCTTCTCCAGGTTCTTGCCCCTGCTGTTGAGTGGCTGGACTTCATCTCATACTTTCTCGCACCACTAGAACTAACGGATGCTGAGCCAGTGGTGGTCTATGGGAAGGAGTATTTGGAGCAGGTGTCACAGCTCATCAATAACACTGACAAAAGGTATCCAGGAGAGACTTTCCATCCATCTAGTTACGACCAAGACAACGCACATTCCACACTTCTTGTAATTCTGGATGGAGTCCATCTTTGGACATTGAAAAGGAAGTGTTCTTCGACGCATGGCACAAAGAATGGAGAGATTGGGTTCGCTAGTCCAGTGTTTCTTAGCTTTGGCAACTTTAAGATGTTAGAAGAAATATCCTTCTGGGTTCAGTTCCAAGTGGGGAAAAAGACATTGGAAACATGGAGGCTGTTTAGAAAGATGGCTTAATGGTGGACAGGACCACATGGCTTGGAGCTCCTGGGTGAAAAAAGGGAAGGAGATGTTGAGAGTCCCTGGGTTTTATACCCTCTGTTGGGCTTTGAATTTGAGCTTGTATTCTGATTGGTTGTCAGACCCCCATGGGGCCATGCAGGGGCAACTCTGTAGGCCTGTCCTGAATCCCAAGTTTGGTTGAGCTTTGCTGTATGACGATGTAATGAAAAGGCTTTGGGATTCCTACTATGGGTCTGCCTGAAGGAGGTAGACCTTTGTTATGTAAAATAGACTGGCCCAGGCCCTAATGGCCCATTAGCAAAGGTGGGGTGGGGGTTGAGTTTCTGCCTCTCTGAGTTTCTACTTCTCTTTTAGGGGAAATATTCTGCCTTTTTAGTATATCCTAAAAATATTTCATTTTCCTAGGAAAACGGGTTTTAACTTCCAACAATGATGGATGAACTTCAACTCATGGCTGGTTGGGGAATTCTGGGAGTCAACGTCCACCCATCTTAAAGTTGCCAAGGTTGAAAAACAGTGGGCTAGATGTTGCTAAATGGCAGCTCAACCTTGGCAATTTCAAGATGGGTGGACTTCAGCACGTGGCTGAGTGGCGATTTCTGGGAGTTGAAGTCTACCCGTCTTAAAGTAGCCAGCGTTGACAAACGCTAGCCTGGATAGCAACTCTCCATTGAGCCAGTTAGCATCACCATTGATGGGAGACGCTGAGCATTTTTTTTTTAAATAAAGTATTTTTATTTTTAAAAACAAACATTACACGTACAAAACATAAAAACATAAAACCATCTTCCCTTTTATATACACATGGACGCCGAGCATCTTGAGAGCCACCGCATTCCTATAATACTGAGAGCTTTTCCATTTAAGAAATGCATGGACCGCTCCTTCACCAAAGACCAACACCAGTCAACTCTACTGTTCTGCAGAGGAGTAACAAGGAGAGAGCTGGGCAGTTTTGATCAGCTCTTTCTGAGCTTAGATGCTTTTGGTAGGGCATCCTGAGACAGAGTTCTGACTGGCTGGGCTAGGCCTGATCTGTCATGCCCCTGTTGGAGTCTGACTCCCAGGGAGAGATGGAAGAGCTGACAGGGAGTGGGAGTGTGGCTCCAGTGATCGTGGAAGAAACTGGGGAAGGGCACAGTCTGGATGGGCATTCAGAGGAAGACCCAGGCCCATCCCCTTTTCATCCTAGGGCATGCAGGGAGGAGTGGATAAGGGAGAAACGTGAGTGGCATGGTCTGTGGGGGAGGAAGGGGCTCTGATCCCCTTCATGGGCTGCAGCTGGGAGGACTAGTCAAAAGGACAAACTGTGCATGGCAAAAGTGCTGGAGATAAAGCGTGCGTTCTTGTCGGAGCTTATGTGTGTTTTGGCTTCCTCGCAACGGTGGTTGCTGCGTTATCTGGTAGAAGTCTGCAATTAATCATCCTTGCCTGCCCTAGTAATTCCTTCAGTGTGGCATGTTGGGTTTTTATTTCGAATTAACTTTACTTTGGGTACGGACTGCATTTACTCCGTCCGTAAACTGTTTTCTTTAAGAGTTTGATATCCTGCCAAGGATAATTGGACATTGGGGAAGTTGGAGGCATTAAAGGGATTTTCTTCTATTTTTGTGATGTTATTATTTTTGTGTCACACCCCGGGTCATCACAGATCTAGCATGATGACTCCTGTGTTCTCATGTTGTTGAAAAGGTGTGATGAGGCACACAATCCAGTTTTTTGAGGCTTGGCATTTATTCTCACTCTGTCTATGGAGATTCTCAGTCATCCAGGTCATGGTTTGTCCCAAAAGTGGTTTTTCAAGAGGCAACTGGACTTTCTTTGTTTTTGCTTTTAAAAACGTTTCGATTCTCATCCAAGAAGCTTCTTCAGTTTTGAGTGTAATGCAGGATGAAAGGGTTTATATTCCTTGCAGTCAGTGTGCGATCATTCAACCGGTGTAACAACCAGTTCGGTGGTAGCACACTTTGCATGTGTGCATGTACACCATTTTTTAAAAACCCCATTTTCAATTCTAATACTGCAACCCCGGTGAGTAAAACAGTGGAGGCATGGCAAAACCGCTCTGCCACACAGCTTGCTCAAAAACAAGGAAATGACAGGGAATAATGATAATAAATAAAAAATAGAATATCATAGCATTTAGTAGAAAGTTACTCTATGGGCCAGGGGTCGCCAACCTTTTGCACCTCAGGGACCACCAAACTCATACTTTTAAATCCCGTGGACCAGGGACCCTGGGAAAATCCCCCAAAAAGTCTGCAGTAAATTCCCCATCCCATTTTCCTACCTATTGATCATTCTTTATTTGGGATCGCAGGATACTGTCTCCAGCTCCGTTCTCAGGGGGAGAGAGAAAGAGAGAGAGAGAGAGAGAGAGAGAGAGACTTTTGGCTTCATGCAAGGAAAGCAGCAGAAGCAGCAGAAATCTTTCTTTCTCTCCCCCAAATTCTGCCAAAAATAAGTCTTTGTGAAAGCTGGCGCAGCCTCTTGGAGCAGGATGCCTTGCAGGGTCCCAAAGACTCATTTCTGGAGGAGTTTGGGGGAGAGAAAGAAAGACTTTTGCTGCTTTCCTTGCGTGCAGCCAAAAGCAGAAGAAGAAAGAAGTGGAAAGAAGCAGCCCGGTGGCCAGGCCAGGCGCATGGGGCGAGTTCTCCCCCTCTGCCCTTCCCCCCCCAGTACCTTGTGTTGTTTGCAATGCAAGCGACACAAGCCTTCTGTTCCTGTGGGCCATGTGGGTGGCGCAGCCTTATGTTCCCACACAGCCTGGGTTAATTGCTTTGGGGGTGACATATCTCTGCAGACCACCAAAATTTTCTCGCAGACCACCACTGGTCCCCAGCCCACTGGTTGACAGCCACTCCTATAGACATTTGTTCTCTTGTAAAATAGATATTATCCTGCTGTAAACGTATTTCCTTCTGCATTTACTCATTGTTAAACATATGCCTGCAATAAGTTGCACCCTCCTGTATCAAGTATATGGTCCTGTTAGCTAAATCCTTCATGAATCCTTCCATAAATGATCTCTAGCTCCAACTGTCAAGGCAATTCACACACACACTCACACACACACACCTTTGAAACTATGGTGTTAACAAAAGGCCAAAGTGATCAATTAGGGATACAATGGGGAAAAGATAACACTGCCAGAAAAGAATCCGCCTGTTGCAGGCAAATGTAAATCTTAGTTAGATTACATGACTAGAGATTTACAAGGTAATTAGAGAACTAAGAACAAAGACTTTTTGTGTATATAAGAAGGACAGGGCATCTTTCTGTATTTTGTAGAATTTTCCTCCCATGTCTCTTGTGATGTGCTAGGAACTTCTTCCCAGATCTTTTAACTTTGATCGAAGAATAAAAGCCTCCTTTCTTTGATTTGCAAGCCTCCGTTTAAGTCTTTGTTTTTGGTTCATTTTTGGCTTAAGCGTACTGCCAGACCTTAAAGAAATAAAACACAGGGAAGAGCATGGGTGGACCCAAATGGTCACCAGAACTACTGGTTCACCCGAACCGGTCCGAACCGGTAGAATCCTGCTTGCAATCCTCTGGGCATTAGCTCTCTGAGATTCAGTGAGGCCACTTGGAGGTTTATTTGTGCCCTCAGGGTCACCTGAATAGTGCAAATGGGGGAGGAACCTTCTTGGAACTGCTGAAAGGAATTTTTTTCCTTCTTGAAAACATTTCACTTCTTATTTATGTATTTTATTTATTTATTTGATTTGTCAATCGCTTACAGGATAACAGGTATATATATAAACATAGTTATGAATACATGAAATGGATACGTATAAGAAAAATAAAAAGAAACAATAAGACAGGGACGGTAGGCACGTTGGTGCGCTTATGCACGCCCCCTAGAGACCTCTTAGGAAAGGGGTGAGGTCAATAGTAGGCAGTCTAAGGTTAAAGTTTTTGGGGTTTGGGGAAGAAACCACAGAGTCAGGTAGAGTATTCCAGACATTGACCACTCTGTTGCTGAAGTCGTATTTCCTTCAGTCAAGTTTGATGCGGTTTACCTTGCGTTTGTATCTATTGTGTGCTCTTGTGTTGTTATGGTTGAAGCTGAAGTATTCATTGACAGGTAAGTCATTGCAATGTATGATTTTATATACCATACTTAGATCAGACCAAAGGCGGCGTAATTCAAGGTTTTCTAGGTCTAGAATTTCAAGTCTGGTGGCATAAGGTGTTCTGCAAAGAGTAGAGGAGTGGAGAACTCCTCTTGTGAAATATTTCTGGACTTTCTCAACTGTGTTAATACTACACTTCTTATCCAAGAAGTTTCTTCGGTCCTAACTGAATGCTGGGGTTTCAAAGTCCAGCTGCCTTTTGAAAAAAGAACATTTGAGACTTCCCACCACCAATAGGTCCTCAGTTTTGAAGTCAGCCTCAAGAAAGGAGGAAGCCGTTGAGTTTTCTCCTGTTCCTTCAGTTTTTAGTTTATGGGCAACTGAGCAGTGCTTTCCACTAGTTGGCCAGACTTTATTTAAAAAACTGGAGCCTTTGAGATCATTTGTCTGTGTGGGATGGAACATGAGGGGGTTTGAAGCAGACAGATGCCAGGTACCCTGATCAAAAATAGGCCTCGAGATTAGCCTGTCCTTGCACAATTTTACACCCTCTAAATAAGCAGTTGGAGAGGACAGAGGGATCCTTTATCTGATCATGTCCTTTCTTTTTAGTGTTTTGAACAATTACATGATTTGGAATCTGATTCAGAAAACAGCTTCTAGCCTCGACCAGCGGTTTGAAACGGCCCAGGAGAAGCTGTTGGAGACTTTGTATGGCACCAAAAAGGTAAGCGGATACTTTAGAGCAGCGATTCCCAACATCGGCAGCTTTAAGATGGGTGGACTTCAACTCCCAGAATTCCCCAGCCGGCCTTTGGGAACTCAGCGTTGGGAACTCAGCAGTGTTTCCCAACCTTAGCAACTTTAAGACTTGTGGACTTCAACTCCCAGAATTCCTGAGGCAGCCATTCTGGCTGGGGGATTCTGGGAGTTGAAGTCCATCTATCTTAAAGTTGCCACAGTTGGGAAACACTGCTTTAGAGCTGCGGTGGCGCAGTGGTTAGAGTGCAGTACTGCAGGCTGGTTCTGCTGACTGCCGGCTGACTGCAATTTGGCAGGCTCAAAGTTGACTCAGCCTTCCCTCCTTCCAAGGTTGGTAAAATGAGGACCCAAATTTTGGGGGGCAAGAGGCTGACTCTGTAAACCGCTTAGAGAGGGCTGTAAAGCACTGTGAAATGGTATTTAAGTCTTAAGTGCTATTGCTATTTAGGACAGGTGCCTCCAAACTTGGTAACTTTAAGACTTGTGGACTTCAACTCCCAGAATTCCCCAGACAACATGGAATTCTGGGAGTTGAAGTTCATAAGTCGTAAAGTTGGAGGCCCCTGCTTTAGGGGAATGAAAAAGGCAATCGAGGGTTCCCTTCTTCTGGGCAGGACCAGAAACAACTTCCAGTTTGCAGACCAGTGGAGATCTTAGTACCCAAACTCCATTAGCTTGGTGATCTGAAAACTAACCATTTCCAACCCGAGCTGGGATCTTCTCCATGTTGTGAGGAATCTTCCACGGACGTGTAGCTTCTTCAATGAACATGGCTCCTTAACTCCCTTTGTCCTCTTAAACTCCATTGCTCGTTACGTGTCTTTGGGCCTCACTCTCGTTCTTTCTTTCTCTCCTGGAGTCCTGCACACCTCGCTGGCAAACATGCATTTCTAACACGGACGACACCTTGGGTTTTGCCCTCGGGGCCCTGTTCGTAAAAGCCACGTTCGACCGACACAGCAAGGAGATTGTGAGTATCTTCAGCCAGGTTGGTGAGATCCCTGCTCCTGGGTTACTTCTAAAATATAAGTAGCCCCACCACAAAGGCACAGATTGAAAGCTTCCCCTTTGCTTATGTATTTGGAACACAGCAGGGAAGAGGGAGGCAGCCTGAAAAAGGATAAAAACAACACAGAATAAGGAAAGATCTTAGGCAATCTTTCGTTTGTTGCTGCAGAGTCAGTATTCCCATGTAATTTCAGGAATTGAACCCAGATGGGATCTTTAATGTCATTAGAAACAAATCCTTGTCTTAACATGGGATACGAAGGAGGCCATCCCAGCAAGTTCCAACGTGGTTTATTTGTTTGCGCCCAGCATGTTTATATTTGATATTTTATTGATTTTATTTCTTTGATCGTTGTGAACTGCAGAGTCATAGAGAGTAAAGTAGCATACAAGTTTAATTTATTATCATTATTAGTATTAGTATTTTGTTAACCTGGGGTTTTTGTAATCTTTTATTTTACTAAGTTAAATGAACACTATTTTTCTATCTGCCTGCCTGCCTGCCTACCTACCTACCTACCTATCCATCTATTATTTGTCTGTCTTCTGTCTGTCTATCTATCCATCTATCTACCTACCGACCTATCCACCTACTTATCTGCCTGCCTGCCTACCTATCCATCTATTATTTGTCTGTCTTCTGTCTGTCTATCTATCCATCTATCTACCGACCTATCTATCTACTTATCTGCCTGCCTATCTATCTATCTATCTATCTATCTATCTATCTATCTATCTATCTATCTATATCTCCCTCCCTCCCTATCTATCTATCTTAAGTGATCTATCTATGACTCAAGTGTAGTACTGTAAGCTTTAGCTCCCAAATTTTAATCACATGATCAAAAGTCACGAGTGTGAAAAAAACGATCATGTCACTTTTTCAGTGCCAGTGTAACTTTGGTCACAAAATGAAAGGTTATAAGCTGAGGACCACCTGTATTAACTCCTTCACATCCAGATTTCTTGAGATTTTTTTAAATATCTTTTTAAATTTGCTTTTCTGTGAAGGAACAATAACCAATGAATGAAAAATATAATTGGGTGGTGGAATACACTGCAGATACTGTTGAGATTTTTAAGATAAGGCTGCAGTAGGGAAGATGCCGCATCGAAGGTTTTAGCAATCCCGCATTGGGCTTTGGGATGGCATGGATCTGTGTTTCCCAACTTTGGCTATAATTGAAGAGGTGTGGACTTCAATTCCCAGAATTCTCCAGCCAGCCACGCTACCACACATCTTCAACTTGCCAGGGTTGAGAAACGCCGGACTAGATGGTCTCTAAGGTTATAATTCTTTGATTGCATATGACCCTCTTGTTCCTCTCCATCCTTACCCTCAGGCTGAGAACATGATTGCCGAAATCCGTGCAGCCTTTCAAGACTCCCTAAACAATCTCGACTGGATGGACAAGAAGACAAAGCAAGCTGCGAAGGAGAAGGTGACTCGGACAGTTGGAACAATTAATCAGTGGAACGACTTGCATCCAGAAGTTGTGGACCCTCCTATAGTGGAGGTTTTTAAGAGACTGAACAGCCTCTTGAGCAGGGGGTAGGACTAGAAGATCTCCAAGGTCCCTTCCAACTCTGTTATTGTCATTCCCCGTTTGGAATCTGATTCCGAGGGAGAGGTGGAACAGCTGATAGGGAGTGGGAGTGTGGATCCGGTGGCTGTGGAGGAAACTGGGGAAGGGCACAGGCCGGCTGGGCATTCAGAGGAAGACCCAGGCTCCTCCCCTCTTCCTCCTAGGGCATGCAGGGAGGAATGGATAAGGGAGCAACATGGTTTATGGAGGAGGAAAGGGCCCTGATCCCCTTCATGGGCTGCAGCTGGGAAGACTGTTTAAAAGGGCAAACTGCGCATGGCAAGTTTGCTGGAAGCAAAGCGTGCATTATCTTTGTTGAGGCTTATCTGGGTGTTGGTGTCCTCCCACCGTTATCTTTTGGAAGTCTGCAAGTTATTATCCTGGTCTGTTGTGTTAATTACTTCAGTGTGGTTTGTGTTGGTTTTTTTTTTATTTCTACTTTATCTTTATTTTGGGTTCGGACTGCATTTCTTCCCTTTGTAGACTGTTTTTGGAAGAGTTTGATCTCCCACCAAGGCTAATTGGATATTGTGGATCAAGTTGGAGGCATTAAAGGGAATTTATCAACTTTGGTGACTATGTTATTTTTGTGCCACGCCCCGGGTCATCACAGTTATTCTGAAAATCCTTTTCACTGGGGTTCCTTGCATTCTTGCAAACTGAGTTTCAGACAGTTTTTTTTTTTTTCAATACAGGCTGATGCCATCTATGACATGATTGGCTTCCCCGAGTTCATCCTTGACAACAAAGAGTTGGATGATGTCTATGATGGGGTAAGAACCTAGGACAGCAACATGAAAGGCATGGAAATTGCTCCGGGCCTGGTTGTCTCAGAGAAATAAGAGAAGCTGCTCCAGTTTTTATTGGCATGATACCGGGGGTTCAAACATTGGGTCAAATGTGGTTGGTTCAACATATTGTTTCCATATACTGTCTGTGAAGCCAGGCTTTGTGATTTGTTCACCGTTGCATAGCTTAATGGTGATTTTGCACCATACAGACTAAAATGGTTTGGAGATAATTTTGGTGTTGTAAGAAACCAGCTACTGCAGGGATGTCTGATCTTGGCCATTTTAAGACTTGTGAACTTCATCTCCTAGAATTCCTTTTTTGGGGTAACAAGTTTTTATTTTATAACATACAAAAATTCCGATTTCAATTGAACAGTGAACACACTGTGGGTACAAATCATTTTAGGAAATAATAATCACAGTATTTACAACAATATTCATTGCATTAATATCAAATTATATTCATGTTAATAACCATAATAATCATACTATTTCTTTAACCAAGTTAATGTATCTTCCTTATATCACTAATCCTTTCATATATTTCTCTGTTTCTCGCTCCTGTTTTTGTCAGCTAACCATTGATAAAATATGTCCCAAGTCAAAAAAATATTCAGTTTCTTCCTTTTCCTTAATTGTAAGTGTTCACCTTATCCATTTCTGCACCATTCTAATATTTTTCTAATCACATCTTCATCTGTTGGGATCTCTTCACTTTTCCATTGTTGTGCAAATATTATTCTCGCTGCAGTCAACACATGTAAAATCAGATTATACATTCTCTTATTTATACCTGTCTGGTAGAATGTCCAGCAAAAATGCCTCTGGTTTCAAATCTATATGTTTTTTTATCTTTTTTTTCAAGCCATTGTATGTGTTTTTGACTAATATTTTGTTGCTTTTCGACAAGTCCACCACATATGATAGTATGAACCAGGTATCTGGTGGCATTTCCAACATTTTGCAGATTAATCCTTAAACATCTTTGCTAACCTTGGGGGCAGAAAATGCCATCTATAAAACATTTTATAAAGATTTTCTTTGTATGCAGTAGACATTGTTAATTTATATGGGCTAAAAGCTGATTCGATTGAATTAGATCAATGGCAGAAATTATGGGATAGAAATCTCCCAGCATTCCCCAGTTAGCATGACTGGCTAGGGAATTCTGGGAGTTGAAGTCCCACGTTTTAAAGTGATCAAGATTGGACATCTTTGTTTTAGCAAGCTGCGCAGACCAAGATGTCTTCTGACCAATTTCTTATGGCCTAGGATGATATGTGAATAATTTGGGCTTTATTCTTCAGACTATATTTACTGGAAATGCTAGATTTTCTGCATTGGAGGTTTCCCCATTGTAAAACTGAAATGTGTTTCTTCCTTCCTTCCTTCCTTCCCTCCTCCTCCTCCTCCTCCTCCTCTTCTTCTTCTTCCCAGTATGAAGTCTCGGAAGACTCTTTCTTTCAGAACATGTTGAATTTCTACAACTTCTCTGCCAGGTTTATGGCAGACCAACTGAGGAAGCCTCCCAACCGAGACCAGTAAGGATTCCCTTTTTCCCAGTCATGGCATAAGATAGGGTTAGGAAGTGAGGATGATGTCCTCAGTTTGACACAACAATGCAAGAGGAAGAGGTAGACAGACGACCTCTAGATCAACATCCAACTCAGAAAGTCAATGCTTTAGTAAGAACACGATTCAGAAAAACAAAATTCTAGAATTTGTATTAAGATTCACAAGACTAGGCACCAGAGGTGGTGGTATTCAGCAGGTTCTGATCAGTTCTGGAGAACTGGTAGCGGAAATTTTGAGTAGTTCGGAGAACCGGCAAATCCCACCACTGACTGGAGATTTTACAGTATCCTTTCCCTGCCATGCCCACAGAACCGGTAGTAAAAAAAATTGAATCCCACCACTGCTAGGCACCAAAGCATGAATCAAGTCTGCCAGAGGTTAGTTAGTGAGTTAGTTATCTAGTTTGTTAGATAGTTCAATAAATAAAAAAGAAATTGGGTTATGGCTAGTCTAGAGAAAAGAAGGACTAGGGGTGACATGATAGCAGTCTTCCAATATTTGAGGGGCTGCCACAAAGAAGAGGAAGGGGTCAACCTATTCTCCAAAGCACTTGAGGGCAGGCCAAGAAGCAACGGATGGAACTAATCAAAGAGAAAGCAACCTAGAACTAAGGAGAAACTTCCTAACGGAAGAATTAACCAGTGGAACAGCTTGCCTCCAGAAGTTGTGGGTGATTCATCACTAGGTTTTAAGAAGAGACTGGACAGTCACTTGTCAAATGGTGTACAGCAGGGGTCCCCAAACATGGCAACTTTAAGACTTGTGGATTTCAATTCCCAGAATTCCTCAGCCAGCTATGAGGAATTCTGGGAGTTGAAGTCTACAAGTCTTAAAGTTGCCAAGTTTGGAGATCTCTGGTATAGGGTCTGGACTAGACGATCCCCAAGGCCCCTTCCAGCTCTATTCTGATTGATTGATGGATGGATTCAATCAATCGTTCAATTTATATTCTGTCCAGCTCACAACTCAGATTACTAAGATTGTTTGTTGTTTGTTTGTTTAATATATATGCTGTCCATCTCATTATCCATTACTAACTAGGTTAGTCCCAACCTAGATATAGAGCAAAGTGTCACTGAATTTATTTCAGCATTGATGACACCAGGACAGAGGCTTTTGCTCCAGAAGTTCCCATGAAAACTGGTTGGATGAGTTTGGGCCAATCACCAGGAAATTATGATTTCTAATCCTGCTTTAGGCATGAAAGCCAGTTGGATAACTTTAGGCCATTCATGAGGAGATTATGAATTCTAGTCCCGCTTTAAGCATGAAAGTCGGCTGGGTGACTTTGGGCCAATCATGAGGAGATTATGAATTCTAATCCCGCCTTAGGCATGAAAGTCGGCTAGGTGACTTTGGGCCAATCATGAGGAGATTATGAATTCTAGTCCCGCCTTAAGCATGAAAGTCGGCTGAGTGATTTCGGGCCAATCATGAGGAGATTATGAATTCTAGTCCCGCTTTAAGCATGAAAGTTGGCTGGGTGACTTTGGGCCAATCATGAGATTATGAATTCTAGTCCCGCCTTATGCATGAAAGTCGGCTAGGTGACTTTGGGCCAATCATGAGGAAATTTTGAATTCTAATCCCGTCTTAAGCATGAAAGTCGGCTGGGTGACTTTGGGCCAATCACCAGGAAATTATTTCTAATCCCGCTTTAGGCATGAAACCCAGTTGGATAACTTTAGACCAATCATGAGGAAATTATGAATTCTAGTCCCGCTTGAAGCATGAAAGCCGTCTGGGTGACTTTGGGCCAATCAAGCTATCCAACAAGTGGTTGTTATGGGGAAGGGAGGAGAGGGAAGGAGAAATAGGTATGTTCATAGCCTTAAGTTATTTATAAAGTCATAAAGGTGGGGTGAAAAATCTAATAAATAAACAAATAAAAACAACGCATGTAGAAAGTTAGCAGACTCCCATCGGGAGCTGAAGTCTAACTCCTTTTTTTAAAGATGCAAATGATGAAGGGGTTCGGTGTGTCCCCTCTCCCCAAGGATGAGATGGGGCTTTTAAAGTAGAAGTGGCTAGAAAGATGGTGACATCAAGGTATCCTCCAGAAAGGACCACTTCACAGTTTTGTGCCAGGCATAGCCAGTGGTGGGATTCAAATCTTGTTAAACTACTGGTTCTGTGGGCGTGGCTTGGTGGGCATGGCTTGGTGGGCGTGGCTTGGTGGGCGTGGCTTGGTGGGCGTGGTAGGGGAAGGATACTGCAAAATCCCCATTCCCTCCCCACCCCACTAACCTGCTTTCCAGCTCCGTTCTCCTGGGCAGGGCAACCGAAGAAGACCCAGCCGATCAGCTGGGACTCAGTGGGAGGCAGAGAATTGATGGGGGCGGGGCCAGTCAGGGGTGGGATTTGCCGGTTCTCCGAACTGCTCAAAATTTATGCTACCGGTTCTCCAGAACTGGTCAGAACCTGCTGAAACTCGATTGCAAAAAGTACGACTTCAGCAACAGAACGGTCAATGCCTGGAATGCCCTAACTGACCCTGTTGTTACATCCTCTAACCCCTACTCCTTTAACCTCAAACTAACCACTATTGACCTCACCCCATTCCTAAGAGGTCCTTAAGGGGCGTGCGTAAGTGCACCATCGTGCCTACCATCCCTGTCCTATTGTCCCCATTTATCCGGACCTATTTCCTGTATTCTTACTCATGTTTATGCTTATAACTATTATCTTGTAAGCAACTGACAAATCAAATTTTTTTAAAAAAACACCTCTGGGCATAGCTCTGCCTAAACAGGGCCGGCTCTGCCCCCAAATTATTGACGTTTTGTTGTTTTGTTTTGTTTTTTCAGGTGGAGCATGACTCCCCAGACCGTCAACGCTTATTACCTGCCTACCAAGAATGGCATTGTCTTCCCTGCGGGCATCCTCCAGGCGCCATTCTACGCCCACAACCATCCCAAGTGCGTCAGGGTGCAGTAGTGATTGGGAGGGGGGAAGACGAGGCTTGGGGCACGGTAGCGTAACGGGCATGCTCAAGGAAACTGATCATGGAGAGATTCCACCTAGAAACAAGGAGGAATTTCCCGACAGTGAGAGCAATCAACCCGTGGAACAGAAGTCGCCTTTCGGAAGTTGTGGAAGCTTCATCTTAGGAGGCTTCCAAGGGGAGATTGAACGGCCCTTTGTCAGGGATGGAGTAGGGTCTCCTGATTGGGTGGGGGTTTGGGCCCCTCACCCCTGCAGCCCATTTTAGCTGGTAGAGGCCCCCCTTTGATATTTCCAGGTTGGCCCCAGTAGGCCAGATTTGGCCCCGGTAGGCCACATCTGGCCCACAGGACTTGAGTTTGACACCCCTGACCTAGATCTACCATATAGATTTGAAAGGTGATAACCAGCACCTGGAATGGCATCCAGAAGGAAAAAAATGACAGCCAGGGCATTCGCACAAGAAAAACGTTGCATGGGCAAACCTAGAGGGACCAATTAGAATAGAATTCTTTTATTGGCCAAGTGTGCTTGGACACACAAGGAATTTGTCTTGGTGCAAATACTCTCAGTATACATGAAAGAAACAGTTTATGTCCAGAATGTGAGGGATGTGTAAATATTTTCACAGCCCTCTTTTTGACTCGTGCAGTAAACAGGTCCTCGATGGAAGGGAGGTTGGTAGCAATCGTTTTGTTTACCGTGTGTGTTCTGCATTGTGCGTTCAGTTGCAGCTTCCAAGGTGTATTCAAGGGCCGCCCCACATAGAGTGCATTGCATTCATCTAGATGGGAAGTGTGATGACCTGGGGCGTGGCACAAAGGCAACACAGTCAGATAATCAATAGGAGTTCCTTTATTAGCTCCAACTTTGCCCCACAATGTCCCGGTTACCTTCTGGGCTGGAGAAAAACTCTCCCAGGAACAGCCTTTGGCTGCGGAGAATCAAGTCCAAAACGCGGCCAACAAAAATTGGAACTATAAGTCCAATCAAGGCAAGATGAGGGAATTAGTTTGGCAGGGCAGGAGAAGGAATTTCAGACGTGAAGGAACGGCCATAATTCAACATGGTCGGGAAGATACTAGGAACGCAGATCACCAAAGTCAACACAAGATAAACTCACGTTTATTCCCAACAGAGGCTGTACTCAGCATGCATCTCTTTTAAACTCTCTTCCCAGGTGTGACTAGTGAAGGGAATCAGGGCCCTTTCCTCCCCCATAAGCCACGCAACCCACGTTGCTCTCTTCTCCATTCCTCCCTGCATAACCTAGGATGAAGAGGGGATGGGCCTGGGTCTTCCTCTGAACTCCCTCTCCCTTGTTCTACCTCTCCCCTGCTCTGCCCAGCCGGACTTTGCCCTTCCCCAGTTTCCTCCATAGCCACCGGAGCCACACTCCCACTCCCCGTCAGTTGTTCATCTTCCTCCTCAAATTCAGACTCCAACAGGGGCATGACAGGAAGCAACCAAAGGCACCAGGGACCTTGAGCCAAATATTTGTTGCAAAATATAACAGAGGGAACCTCTTTCGTTTTTTTGCTTCTGGGTCTCAGTGTGCCTTATTTAAAAGACTTGCCCTTTCAATTGTCTGGGACAGTCAAAGCCTGACCTACTGCTTCATCTGTTTTTATTTCCTTTTGTCCCTCAAGGGCCCTCAACTTCGGAGGCATCGGCGTCGTGATGGGGCATGAGCTCACCCATGCTTTCGATGATCAAGGTAACGATGAGTTATTCCCCTTGTGCATGGACGTTTGGAGCTCACATTTTACCGTGCAGGGTTTTTTCTCCTGTAAGTGTGCGGCAGCGGACAAAATAGCCAATGCAATCCTAAGCTGTATTAACAGAGGAATTCAATCCAGATCAACTGAGGTACTTATACCACTCTTAGTAAGATCCCACCAAGAGTCCTGCAACCAGTTTTGGTCACCAGACTATAAAAAAGATGTTGAGGCTCTAGAAGAAGTACAGAGAAGAGCAACTAGGATGATAAGGGGACTGGAGGCTAAAACATACAATGAACGGTTGCAGGAACTGGGCTTGGCTAGTGAAGAGAAGGACCAGGGGAGACAGGATAGCGGTCTTCCAATATTTGAGGGGCTGCCACAGAGAGGAGGAAGGGGTCAAGCTATTTTCTAAGGCACCCGAAGGCCAGACAAGGAACAATGGATGGAAACTGATCAAGAAGAGATTCAACCTGGAAATAAGGAGAAACTTTCTGACAGTGAGAACTAATCAACCCAATGGAACAGAAGTTGCCTTCGGAAGTTGTGGGAATGCCATCACTTGAGACTATCAAGAAGAGATTGGACTGCCATTTGTCAGAAATGGTGTAGGGTCTCCTGCTTGGGTGGGGGGGTTGAACTAGATGATCTACAAGGTCCCTTCCAACTCTGTTAATCTAAAGTAGGCAATCTTTAATGACACCTTCCCTCATGGGCCTTTAAGTCCATCACAAATCCACGGGCAGCTAATGAGCACCTCTCTTGATCTTGTGACTTTTAAGCTCCTTCTTTTTCTTGGGATGTCCTACCCATTCCACGAGTCTTCAAAACGCCTCCCTGGCAGTCCTTGACGTACCACCACAACGGAGCCCAAGCAAGATGGTTGTTAAGCGAGTTTGGCCCCCATTTTGCAGCCTTTCGTGCCACTGTTGTTAAGTGAATCCCTGCAGTGGTTAAGTTAGTAACCCGGTTGTTAAGTGAATCTGGCTTCTCCCTTGACTTGGCTTATCAGAAGGTCACCAAAGGGGATCCCACGATCCCGGGACACTGCAGCCGTCTGAAATAGTGGCAAAGAATATTCATGAACTGCAGTACAGCATGGTAACAAGGTCAGCCAATGAATAGGCATAGCAACTAAGCCAGCCAATGGGGACAGTTTATAGAACAGCGGTCGCCAACCAGTGAGCTGGTGGTCCGCGAGAAAATTTTGGTGGTCCGCAGAAAAATGTCACCCCCAAAGCACCCCGCAAAGCAATTAATCCAGGCTGATGGGAACACAAGGCTTTGCCGCCCACAGGGCCCGCGGGAACACAAGGCTTGCGTCACTTGCATTGCAAACAACATGAGGCAGTGAGGGGAGGGGGGAAAGGGCAGAGGGGGGAACTTGCCCAATCACCCCATGCGCCTTGCCTGGCCACCGGGGTGCTTCTTTCTGCTTCTTTCTTCTTCTGCTTTTGGCTGCACGCAAGGAAAGCAGCAAAAGTCTTTCTTTCTCTCCCCCAAACTCCGCCAGAAATGAGTCTTTGGGACCCTGCAAGGCATCCTGCTCTGAGAGGCTGCGCCGGTGTGACAAGTCTCACAAAGACTCATTTCTGGTGGAGTTTGCAGGAGAGAAAGAAAGACTTCTGCTGCTTCTGCTGCTTTCCTTGCATGAAGCCAAATGTCTCTCTCTCGCGCGCGCGCTCTCTCTTTCTCTTTCTCTCTCTGCCAGACGTTAAATGAAGCATCAGCCATCTGTGTTTATTTTTCTGACGTGGAATTAATGCTGCAAAAACTCTGAACGCATAGGAGTCAGTTGCCAAGTGTGTGAATTTGGATCACGTGACTGTGGGGATGCTGCAACGGTTGCAAATGTGAGAAATGATTGTAAGTGGGGGAAACAGTCATAAGTCGCTTTTTTCAGTGCCATCGTAATTTCGAGTGCTCACTAAACAAACTGTTGGAAGTTGAGGACTCTCCGTATCTTCTGTGACTTACGGCCGTTTTTCACACTTACAGCCTTTTCACAGCATCCACATGGCCAGGTAGTCAAAATTCAGACTCTTCACTCTGTCAACTCGTAAAATATTTCTATGGTCTTTTTAGAATTGCCAACGGAAAGGGAGGGGGGAGCAGTGAGGCAGCTTGGAAACCGAAAGTGCATTCCATAAATAGTTTTTCACAGATAGTTAACTAGATGACTGAAGTTTCTACCGCACAAACTTCTAACTGGAGAGCATGATGGATGACTCTTGGCTATGGATGTGTCCCGTTGGAGAATATGAATTACAATACACCCAGGGGGTGGGGGAAAACCAGGGTCAAGGGTGACAAGGAATGGTGTGCCTCAGAGTCGGCTACACCCAGGCAGTGCCGGACATGTTAACTCCCAGTAAATCCTTTTGAGGTTTTGGAAGTTTGGCTCGAGACTCATGATTTAAATGGGGAGGTAACTGCCAGAGTCCTGATAGCCTCATAGTTTTAACAGTTTGTCGTGTCCCAGGGTCATGTGATCCCCTTTTGCAACCTTCTGACAGGCCAAGTCAATGAGGAACCAGGTTCCCTTAACAACCGTGTTAGCAATTTAGCAGCAGTAACGATTCACTCAACAACAGTGGCAACAAAAGGTCGTACAATGGAGCAAGGCCCAGCGAACAACTGTCTCGCTTAGCCTCAGAAATGGTGGGCTCAGTTGTGGCCGTAAGTTGAGGACTAGCTGTGCTAGATGGATACTCTGGCCCAACAAAACCATTTCATTCCTTCCAGGCCGAGAGTACGACAGAGAAGGCAACCTGCGTCCTTGGTGGCAAAACTCATCCCTCGAAGCCTTCAAGAACCGGACGGAATGCATGGAGGAACAATATAGCAAATATCTCATCAACGGAGAACACGTCAACGGCAAACAGACATTGGGGGAGAACATTGCTGACAACGGGGGCTTGAAAGCTGCTTACAACGTGAGTAAGCCCCGGGGAAACAAAATTGTCCACCCCACTTAGAACAGGGGTCTCCAACCTTTGCTGGCTGAGGAATTCTGGGCGTTGAACTCCACAAGTCTTAAAAGTTGCCAAGGTTGGAGACCCCTGCACTAGAACACATACTGTATCATGGGGAGCAATCTGGTGAACCTCAAAACTTCTTCATCTGAGGTCCCAATTCCTGGAGGGAAGGGGCAGGATTCACACCCTTCCTGAATCTCAGAAGACAGATGTCCTCTGTGGGGTAGTGGTTTAAGAACTGACCAGCTGCTGCAATGATGCAGTGATGGGAATGAGTCAGCAAGGGTTTTGGGTTTTTTTAGCTGTTATCCCTTTAAGAGCCTGTATAATAAGAAGAGGCCCTGTTAGGGCCTCTCTCTCTCTCTCTCTCGCTGTGTATTTTTCCTTGCTGTAATTGCTGATTTTTTGACCTCTGCCTATAGTACATGTTTGTACAGTATATATTCTTTTGTATAGAAAACCACCATTTTTTGACAAATCTCTATTTGCGGTTATTGCTCCTGGGTTGTCTCATGTAGTAAAGTTGTGCGCACTCTGACATGTCCCCCTTGTTGGTTTTGCAGGCTTATAAAGCTTGGCTGAAGAAGAACGGGGAGGAGAAACACCTCCCCTCCGTTGGTCTTACGAGTCACCAGCTCTTCTTTTTAGGATTTGCCCAGGTAAACACTTTGGGATGTTCTTGCTCTACCTACTGACTGTTCCCCTTTTCCTGACCAGCAGTCTTAAACCTGGTGCCTCCCTTGTTAACCCTTCAAGCAGGCCTAAAGACCAGAGGTAGGACTTGGAGGAGGATGATAAAGGTTCCCCTCGCACATACGTGCTAATTATTTACGGCTCTAGCGGGCAGTGCTCATCTCCATTACAAAGCCGAAGAGCCAGCGCTGTCCGAAGACGTCTCCGTGGTCATGTGGCCGGCATGACTAAATGCCCGAAGGTGTACGGAACGCTGTTACCTTCCCACCAAAGTGGTCCCTATTTTTCTACTTGCATTTTTTACATGCTTTCAAACTGCTAGGTTGGCAGAAGCTGGGACCAGTCACAAGAGGTCACTCCATTACACGGTGCTAGGGATTCAAACTGCTGAACTGCCGACTCTTCTGATTGACAAGTTCGGTGTCTTAGCCACTGAGCCACCGCGTCCCTTTTATGATGATGTTATCCACCGTTAGATTACTAACCATCAGATTGCCAACAACACAAGTGAGCAATCAGACAAGGAGACCCAAACTCGTTGATAGCCTCACATTGCAACGAACAAAGACACAGAATAGAATTCTTTATTTAGAATAGAATTCTTTTATTGGCCAAGTGTGATTGGACACACAAGGAATTTGTCTTTAGCGCTTATGCTCTCAATGTAAATAAAAAGAAGAAGAAACAATACATTCATCAAGAATCATAAGATACAACACTTGGTGATAATCATAGATTACTAAATAAGCAACCAAACCATACTAGGAAACAAATAAAACAACATAAATCGTAAAAGATACAAGTAACAAGGTTATAGTCATAAGTGGGAGGACATAGGTAATAGATAGAAAGATGAGAGGAATAATAGTGATACAGTCTTAATAAATAGTTCGATCATGTTGTGGGAATTAGTTATTTAGCAGAGTGATGGCATTCGGGAACAAACTGTCCTTGTGTCTAGTTGTTCTGTCTGAACATACGTTCAATTTCGCAGCTACTAAGATTGTTGGCAGTGCAGGTACAAAAATAGCCAGGGAAATGATTGAAGCCTGGGAACCGAGCCCCTTGTCAGTCAACTGGAGTGCAGATTTACCATTAGCTTATAGGGTACTTAGGAGCCAATTGCTGCCATTAACACACCAAATAGAGGTCGCCACATAAATACAATGCATAAAATAGCCCAAAGCACCCATTCCAGCTTATCAGATACTTGTAACTTCCTTCAAGCAGTCACTAAATGAACAGTCACTAAGTCAAGGACTACCTAGTAGGAGTAACAAGAATCAGTGTCTTGTGGCCCAAATCTGGCTCCCCTATAGCAAACAAATCAGAATAACAGACTTGGAAGGGACCTTAGAGGTCTTCTAGTCCGCCCCCCTGCTCAGGCAGGAAACCATATACTATTTCAGACAAATGGCTCTTCTTTAAAAACTCCGCTGTCGGAGCTTTTACAACTTCTGCAGGCGAGTTGTTCCACTGATTAATTGTTCTAACGCTCAGGAAATTTCTTCTTCTTAGTTTGCTAAATCTCTCTGAAGATGCAACACGGATTTCTTAAGATGACGGGCTCCCAGCAAAAGATTGACAGTTTGTTGGGCAGCCCTAAACAAAGGCAGGACCAGAGCTGATATACCTTTGGTCCAATACTTGCCAAGACAAGGCAAAGAAGGCAGACAAGGTGTAAATTACAGCCTGACAGCAGAATGTTTTTGACGCGAGGTGACCTTCTTCTTATTTATCCCTTCTTACTAGGTCAGCGCGACAGCTGTATTAAATCTGAGATATAGTCAGCGAATAGAAACAGTTGGGATTATTGGGCTGTCTGATTTCTATCCCTGTTACCGCTTAAGGTCACTTTGGCTTGCTGTGAATGTTTTCTTGCAGGGACCCTTTGTGCAATTCACACATACGGGTTTGGTAGTTGAATTTAGCCGATATGTATGTGGGGTGGGGTATCTTTTCTATCACCGCCAGTGGGTTTGAATGCTTAATGCAGCTCAATATCAAATAAGGAAAGCCAGTTTGGTCTAGTTGGGAAGGTACCAGGCTAGAAACCAGGAGACTATGAGTTCCAGTCCCTCCTTTTAGGCATGAAAGCCGGCTGGGTGACTTCAGGCCATGACTAGGAAATTGGGAGCTCAAGTTCCTCTTTAGCCATAAAAATCAACTGGGTAACTTCGGGCCAATCGCTAGGAAATTGGGAGTTCTAGTCCCCCCTTTGGCACAAAGGCTGGCTGGGTGACTTCGGGCCAATGACTAGGAAATTGGGAGTTTTAGTTCTGCTTTATCCATGAAAATCAACTGGGTGACTTCGGGCCAATCACTAGGTAATTGGGAGTTCTAGTTCCACCTTAGCCATAAAAATCAACTGGGTGACTTTGGGCCAATGACTAGGAAATTGAGAGTTCTAGTGCCCCCTTAGGCACGAAAGCTAGCTGGGTGACTTTGGGCCAATCACTAGGAAATTGGGAGTTCTAGTTCCGCTTAAGCCATAAAAATCAACTAGGTGACTTCAGGCCAATCACTAGGTAATTTGGAGTTCTAGTTCCACCTTAGCCATGAAAATCAACTGAGTGACTTTGGGTCGGTCACACTTTCTCAGCCCAATTCATCTCACAGGGTTGTTGTTGAGGGGATAATAGGAGGAGGAAAGTGTATTAGATACGTTTGCCACTTTGAGTTAGTTGTAAAAATGATAAAGGTAAGATAATAAATAAATAAATACATAAATAAATAAATGGTTCTTTCAGTGGCACTGGTCATTACAGGTAGACCTCAGTTTAAGACCGATCACTTACTGACTGTCCAAAGTTACAACACATTCTGAAAATGCTTATTTACGACCTTGTTTCAAAGTCCTGACAGTTGCCCCCATGGTCTTATGACTGACTGCCTCTTTTGAGAGCTTGGTGACCCATCTGCACTTACAGCTTTTTTTAAAAATCTGTAATCAGAGTTAAAAAAAAAAGGTGTGGGGGGAACACCAGTGGTCCCTTATGAGAAAATAAACATAATCACAGCTTTCTGGAAGTCCCCCTAAACAGAAACAGCACTGCTTCCCAATAAATGTTTAATGGTCCACGATCAACAAATGTCCTGCCCCTCCACGGCAAACCAGCGAGTAAGGAAAGTAGATTCACAGGGCGTCTCATTAATCGGCCTTATTGCCAGCAAAAAGGGGAAGGTGGCAGTTTTACTTGAAAACAGAGCACAAAAACAACACTAGATTTAATTTATTAGTGAGTAATTGAGGAGGGTTTTTTTTTGGTAAACTGTCTTTCCCATAGATTGCTTAATTGCAGGACTGAGCCCCACTTAAGGAATAAGGTTCAAATGTCACTCCTTCCTTATTTTCCTCCTTTTGCCCGCCAACTTCGACAGTTGCGACCACGCAGTACGACCACAATTGCACCCAACATTTCTGTTGCTAAGGGAGACACGGGTGATGTGAGTTTTGCCCCATTGTACATCCTTTCTTGTCCTACTTGTTCAGTGAAATCACTGCAGATGTTAAGCTAGGAACCGGTTTGTGAAGTGAACATGGCTTCCCTGTTAACGTTGCTTGTCAGAAAGTTTGCGAAATGGGGATCCCGTGACCCTGGGACACTGCAACCGTCATAAATACAAGTCAGTTGCCGACTGTCTTGAATTTTGATCACGTGGCCATGGAGGATGCCGCAACAGTCGTAAGTGTGAAAAAAGTGGTCATAAGTCACTTTTCCAGGGCTGTTGTAACTTTAAATGGCCGTTAAATGAACTGTCATGCCCCTGGTGGAGACTGACTCGGAGGGAGAGGAGGAACAGCTGACAGGAAGTGTGGCTCCATAGGTTGTGGAGGAGGCCGGGGAAGGGCAGGGGCCGGCTGGGCAGTCAGAGGAAGACCCAGGCCCATCCCCTCTCCATCCTAGGGCAGGCAGGGAGGAGAGGATAAGGGAGAGACGTGAGTGGCATGGTCTATGGGGAAGGAAAGGGCCTTATCCTCTTCATGGGCTGCAGCTGTGAGAACTGAATAAGAGGACAGACATGCGCATGGGCCAGTGCTGGAAACAAAGCGTGGAAATATCTCTAGTCTGTTGCTCCTCTCTGAGTTTGGCGTCCTTCCCAGTGTGTGTTCCGATATCTGTCATCTTTGAGTCCTTATCTTGCCTGGTTCCCTTAATTGCTTCAGTGTGGTTTGTGTTGTTTTTACTCCTTATAATTTATAGGCATTTTTGGTTTAAACGGCATTTCTTCGTAACTGCTTGTGGGGGAATTTTTTTGTCTCCATTCAAGGATATTTGGAGCTTTGAAGCAAAGTGAAGGAATAAAAGGGGCTTCACCTGTTTTTGTGACTGTTTTTATTTTGTATCCCACCCTGTTGTAAGTCGAGGACTACCCGTCTATCCAGTGGTGGGATTCAAATTGTTTGCCTAACACCGACGCGCAGCTTTCCCCACATCAGCTGAGGCCTGCAGCGCCGATCAGCTGAGAGGATAAAGAAGACGGGTGGGTGGGAGGGCCAATTCTGCACTTTTCTCTTCCTTTTTCCTCTCAGCTGATTTGGAGGATTTTTCCCCTCCTCTCAGCTGATCGTCAGAGGCTTTTTTTTACTACCGATTCAGTCAAACCGGTCTGAACCGGTCGCATACCACTTCTGTGTATATCTCTACTCCCAAATCAACTTAGATGAACTTTGGCTACCTCTGACCAAAATCAGCCCTGTTTGTGCTACGTTACAGGCATGCCGCTCAACTCATTTGACCTCCTCCGCATAATTAGCGCTCTGCTAACCTTCTTCTCTCTGATGCAGGTGTGGTGTTCTGTGAGGACCCCGGAGAGCTCGCACGAGGGCCTGATGACGGATCCCCACAGCCCCGACAAGTTCCGGGTCATCGGCACTCTCAGCAACTCGCGGGACTTTTTAGAGCACTTTGAATGCCCGATAGGCTCTTTCATGAACCCTGGGAAGTACTGTGAAGTATGGTAGGGAAGGAAGGAAGGAAGGAAGGAAGGAAGGAAGGAAGGAAGGAAGGAAGGAAGGAAGGAAAAGAGGGAAGATAGGTGGAAGGAAGGAAAGGAAGGAAGGAAGGAAAGTAGGTGGAACGGAGGGAGGCAGAAAAGAAGGGAAAGAAGGAAGACAGATGAAAGAGAGGGAGGAAGGAAGATAGGTGGAAGCGAGGGAGGTGGAAGGGAGGGAGGAAGGAAGATAAGTGGAAGGAAGGAAGGAAGAGAGGTGGGCGGGAGGGAGGGAAGGAGAAAGAAAGGAAGGGAATAAGTTCCATCTCTCACAGTTCCTGTACATACATCTGTCCAGCTGTCCCCCTGCACAGTCCTGATGACTTTGAAGCACTTGGCAACCCTGCCTGGACATCTTCAGTTGGTACAAACTCTTCTCTTTGAGCACCAGGACAAAGAGAAGCAGAACTTCTTGCCTTCCTTCCAAGACTACTTTTCTTCGGTCAGGAAGGAGCAATCCACGGAGAATCTCCTACTCGACCTCTTCGGCTTTTCTTCTCCTCTCCAGCTAACTCAGGGGGCCTTGCCTCTCCTTTGCAGTGCCCTGATGCCATTTTTCTTCTGCTTCTCTAGATCAGCTTTGCAGCTTTGCTGTTGGGGGGGGCGGGGGGGAAGGGAGGGGGGTAGGGGAAAATGGGTCTAGGAACCACACCGAGGAGGATGCCTTTGCTCGTTGAATCTCCAGGCTGGAAGGCGTCTCTCTCTCTCTGGATTCAGTGGAGTGTGGGGGTTCCAACTACAGCTTCCTAGGTTGATGGAAATTACGGATTCCACGTGGAACCCCTTGATACCTGACCCTCTTAACATAGATTCCCAGAGAATCCTACCAGAATCAGAGCAAAATCCACCCAGTAGTCTATCACCCACGTCATGGTTGTCCCAATGGTGCTTTCCCCACCCCTCAAAAAGGTTGTGAAGAAGCTTCTTGGATGAGAAGCGAAATATTTTCCAAGGAGAGAAAAAAAACCCCAAGAAAGCCCATTTGTCTTTTGGAAAAAGTACCTTAGGGACAATCCACTCAGTTTGAAAGATTTGTTCCCAACACGCCAAAAAGAAGCTTCTGAAAAGGTTACAGGGAGAACGGGGAAGTGTAATCCTACGGGATCAGAGCAGTTTAGCAGATTTCATCCCAACAGGCCAACAAGACACTGTGTTTCCCCGAAAATAAGACCTGGTCTTATATTTTTTTTTCACCAACAAAAAAAGGTACCAGGTCTTAGTTTCGGGAGGGTGTCTTCCACTTGTGGAGGAGGCGCCAAAAGCCCTGTCCAGCAAGAGCCCGATGCCGGCCCACTTCTTCTGTGGCTGCTTGTGCGTTGCCCCCAGCCTCCATTTTGCTGTCAGAGGCCCTTCTGGAAAGCTCTCTGCAGCTGATAACAGAGTCCGGATTGCGGTCGCAGAAGTGGGCTTGCAAGGCAAGGCAGGGTGTGCGAGGCCTGGTAAGTAGAGCAGCTCCAACCCCCATTCCCATCCTAGCTTAATTTTTACCGGTGCGCCTCGCCTCACCCCTTGCACCCTTAACTAGGGCTTATTTTGGGGGTAAGGCTTATATTGGGCACGTGTGAAAATCAAGCTAGGACTTACTTTCGGGGTAGGTCATATTTTGGGGGGGAAACACGGTACCTTTGAGAAGCTTCTTCCACTGAAAACAGGAAGAAAAGGCGTAGTTGTTTGCAACAGGGATTGCAATTACTCACGATTAGAGGTGTAATCCGGGATACCCTACTTCTGAAGGCATCCCTTAGCTAATTGCCAGGATACAGATCTGTCTTTCATGCTTGTCTTTTTCATGAAGCCACCTCAATTAGTTGCTGTCATGATCTCCTGCGTGGCTTATGGGTTAAGAGTAGTTTTTTTCAAACGGGATTCTCTGAAAGTTGGAATGAGTGCCTTGGAATCAAAGGAGGAGAGAGAGAAAAGGATCTGTCTACAAATGATTTGGAGAAAAAGAAACTCCCTGCAAGAAACTAACCATTTTCTTTTTGGAGGAAAATGTGAAAAGGGTTTCCCTCCACCCCTTAGTCACTAAACCAAAGTGCAGTGTTTCATAGCTTCAGCAAATTTGAACAGTGCGAACTTCAATTCCCAGAATTCCTCTGCTGGGGGGGGAGGGGACGGCAAGAACCTTTGGGACAGTTGGCCTGCCAGGGAATTCTGGGAATTGAAGTCCTCACAGCTCAAAGTTGCTGAGATGGAGAAACACCCAGGTTAGGGAAAGAATAGGGCTTGTCAGCTGACATGGGCACTGCGTGAATTTTCCTATTCTGTTTTATTTTACTTTATTTTAGTTTAAATTGAATAGATTCCACCGTTTGAAAAAAAAAAAAAAGTTTGAAAAACTCCCGGGTCAAAGTCTAGCTAAGACTGGGAACATCCCACAAAAGCATTTGTACCCATTACCGGGGTGCAAAATCAAAGAAAGACTGACTATTTTTTTCTACCAATCAAGCATCCAAAGAAGAAAACAAGGGTTGGGCACAGACTATTCTCTGTCTTGCTTCTTTCTGGAGCAAAGTCCTTCGTGTTATGTCAAAAAAGGGAGAGAGAGAGAGAGAGAGAGAGATTGTACACCTGCCGAAGCACAATCCCACCCAATCACTGTGGAAAGACAAACTGCCTTTTTTCCCCCGCTAGCGTCGCATCTCCCCAAGCTTCGTATCCCTTTTTCACAATACGGGGGTGGCCCCCTCGATCGGTTGCTAGGAATCCCGCGCAGATGTAGGTCACCCTATTCAAAGCACACACAGAGAAAAAAAACAAACAAACCCTGTCATCCCAAGGAAGGTTTTGGAGTCTGGCAGGAGACGGGAGAAGCGAGAAACGAATTCGAACTCGCTTCCGACGCAGTGTCATCCAACCCTTTCCCAAGCTCGTGATCGAATCAAAATTAGCTTGGCTGAGAAATTCCAAAGTCGCTCCCATCTTAATTGAGCTTGGTGGAGATTAGTGCCTTGGATTAGTGCGATGTGTGTATGTGTGTGTGTGTGTGTGTGTGTGTGTGTCATTCGGGGTGGGGGGGAGGGAGGGGAGGGCTGCTGTTGATGTCTTTACTATTAAAAGCACTTTCCGCTTGACTGTTTCAAAGTGGACTTCAAAACTGTGTGACAAAATAATAAAAAACAAAACTAGACAAATCCATTTGAGACTGCAGCACTGTTTCTTATTTTCAGCCTATTAGACGGGGGTGGGATTCGACCGGTTCAGGCCGGTTTGGGCGAAGCGGATGTTAAATTTACATCTGGTTTGCCAAACCAGTAGGTGAACTGACCGGCTGGCCCCGCCCAACCCTCCCCTCCCAGGTGTCTCCACACGGCCCATTTTGGACTCAGGTCAGTGCAGGGCAGAGGCTCTGGGAGGGGGAAAAAAACAGGCCGAACCAGAAGTTCTGGAGGTCTGCAAACGGGCCTGCTTCCAGAGCCCGGGGGAGGCTGTTTTCGCCCTCCCAGAGGCCTGAGGGAAGCCTCCGGAGTCTGGGGAAGGCGGAAAATGGCCCTCTCGGATGTTCCGGTAGGCCAGGCCTACCATGGCCACGCCCACCCAGTAACCGGGCAGAGAACTGGTTGCTGGGCAACAAATTGGAGTGACTCTAGTTTGGCAGTTTAGTTACAGGAAATCCGATTGTAGATTTGTTCTGAATTGTGGCTATTTAGCCCTGCTGATATTCCCGTTCCCTATCTGAGCAATGGTTTTAGGCTCCAGGGCGAGGCTGATATTACAGGATTCTTTCCATTAAAATATATATTTTTTTAAAAAGAACAAAACCTCAGAGTAGGAAGCGATATATTAGAACCTAACTACAGGTACTTCTCAACTTAGGGCCACACCTGAGCCCAGAATTGATGTTGCTAAGTGAGAAATTTGTTAAGTTGTCCCATTTTATGACTTTTCTTGTCACGCTGTTGCGAATCATGGCAGTTGTTAAATTTGTAACACGGTTGTGAAGTGAATCTGGCTTGACAGGTTCTGAATTTGCTTTTGAAAAAAATCACAAAAGATGAAATTGCAACCATTATAAATATGAACCAGTTGAGCGGTGCGGTGGCCTAGAGGTGGAGCTCTCGCCTTGCAATCAGGAGGCTGTGAGTTCAATCCTCGGTAGAGGCAAGTATTTCTCTCTCTGGGTACACTGGGAATATATCTGCTGAACAAAACTCTGCATTGGTGACAGGAAGGGCATCTGGCCATTAAAACACTCAGCTCCATTCAGTTACCAAGACTCCACCCTGCAAATGATTATGGGGTCATTAAAAGAGGATGATGATGATAATAAATATGAACCAGTCGTCAAGCATCCAAATGTAAATCACCTGAACATGGGGATGCTCCAATGGTCATAAGTGTGTAAAATGGTCCTAAGTCGCTTTTTTCGATGCCATTGTAACTTCAAACGGTCACTAAATGAACTATTGTAAGTCAAGGACTACCTGTACTGGGATTGGAAGGCACCTCGGAGGTCTTCTAGTCCAAACCCTGCTCAAGCAGGAGACCCCATGCCCGTGATGGCGAACCTATGGCACTGCACATGCATGCCCTCCCCGCTGATTTTCAGCCTATTTGAGGACTTTTCCAGCCTCCCAGAGGCTCGAGGGAAGCCTCTGCAGCCTTTGGAGGCCAAAAAACAGGCCCGTTTCATCACAACTGGTATTTCCGGAAATACCAAAGGGGCCCATTTTTCGGCCTCCAAAGGCTGCAGAGGGTTCCCTTGAGCCTCTGGGAGGCCGAAAAAGGCCTCAAACAGGCCGAAAGTCAGCTGGGAGGGCATGCATGTGCAGTGCAGGTAAGGGGGGCATCGCGCACGCATGTGCAGTGCAGGTAAGGGGGGCATCGCGCATGCATGTGTAGGGGCGCGCGCATTGCCTTCTGGGTGTTGGCACATGAGTGTGCATGCAATTTTCAGCACAGGAGCCCAAAAAGGTTAGCCACCACTGCTCTATGGCTATTTCAGTCAACTGGCTGTTCAATCTCTTTTTA